GAGAGAAAATACTGTAGCGAACCATGAACCATGATTCAAATCATAGTTTGAATCCTCAAACCAAACATTCCCTTAAGCTCAACACTTAAGCTTTTGCCGTGAATAGGCCAAAAACTAAGATACAAAACATCAACAGTCAAAACTCCATATAAGAAGTTCTAGCAACCAACCTTGACGATATAAGCTGGAGTCCCCGGTTGAGGAACATCAGCTGTAACATGTCCACGTCTTCGAGATAAAACGGTGTAAATTGCAGAGACACAGTCAATTGGTGTTTGGATCTGAAATAAATCACAAATTATTCTCGCATCAAATAACAAGTCCCATGTGTAGGGATATTCATGTCTCAAGCATTTCGCTCAAGCTTTCATGCCAAAGTTTCACATTAACTACCACATTGGAATTTGGTTCCATCATTCACATTGAAAGAAGCATTCAAATGGTCAATTTAAAACTCAAATCTTAGGTAGACAATTAGACGTGGCAACCATTTACCTCCACATAATATACAGGTTCCATAAGCCTTGGGGTTGCCATAAGAAATGATGAATAGGCCACTCGACGAGCTGTGGGAATGATCTGACCAGATCCACGGTGCAATGGCTCAGGTGCAATTTTTGCATCAACAATTTTGAACTTCACATTTCTGATGGGCTCATCACAAAGAGGTCCTTCTCGAGCACCCCATTGAAATCTGCTCATAATAACATTATAGCAGGCAATGAATTAGATTAACAAAAGGATTTTGTTCATTTGTATACCCTACATTTTAAGGATATTAAAAAAAATTATATGTTGTATTTTGAACAGTTAAACATTTATATCTTGAGATTTCAGATTTAAGTCAACACTCATTTTGACCCCACCCCCACAACCTTACATGCCCTCCAAGGAAAAGAAGAAAAAGAAAAAGAAAATAATAATAAATTTGGAAAAAGAAAAAACAGAAAGAATAATTAAACAAAACAAACTCTGACTAAAAAACCCAAACTAAAAATGAAAAAAAAAA